AAGGATTGGTGAAGTTCTTATTCTGACTGACTGACTGAATAGAAGATTGGTGAAGTTCTTATCTGACTGACTGAATAGAAGATTGGTGAAGTTCTTATTCTGACTGACTGAATAGAAGGATTGGTGAAGTTCTTATTCTGACTGACTGACTGAATAGAAGGATTGGTGAAGTTCTTATTCTGACTGACTGAATAGAAGGATTGGTGAAGTTCTTATCCTGACTGACTGACTGAATAGAAGGATTGGTGAAGTTCTTATTCTGACTGACTGACTGAATAGAAGATTGGTGAAGTTCTTATTCTGACTGACTGAATAGAAGGATTGGTGAAGTTCTTATTCTGACTGAACTGAATAGAAGGATTGGTGAAATTCTTATTCTGACTGACTGACTGAATAGAAGATTGGTGAAGTTCTTATCCTGAACTGACTGAATAGAAGGATTGGTGAAGTTCTTATTCTGACTTGACTGAATAGAAGGATTGGTGAAGTTCTTATTGCTGACTGAATGAATAGAAGGATTGGTGAAGTTCTTTATTCTGGACTGACTGACTGAATAGAAGGACTGGTGAAGTTATTATTCTGACTACTGGACTGAATAGAAGGATTGGTTGACGTTCTTATCCTGACTGACTGACTGACTAGAAGGATTGGTGAAGTTCTTATCCTGACCTGACTGACTGAATAGAAGGATTGGTGAGGTTCTTATCCCTGACTGACTGACTGAATAGACAGGATTGGTGAAGTTCTTATTCTGACTGACTGGATGAATCGACGGATTGGTGAAGTTCTTATTCTGACTGACTGGACTGGAATAAAAGGATGGTGAAGTTCTTATCCTCCTAGACTTGAACTGATATAAGGATTGGTGAAGTTCTTATCTGACTGACTGACTGAATAGAAGCATTGGTGAAGTTCTTTATTCTGACTGACTGACTGAATATAAGCATTGGTGAAGTTCTTATCCGGACTGAACTGCTGAATAGTAGCATTGTGAAGGCTATTCTGACTGACTGAATAGAAGGATTGGGTGAAGTTCTTATCCTGATGACTGAAGAGAATGATTGGTGAAGTTCTTCTTCTGACTGACTGAATAGAAGGATTGGTGAAATTCATATTCTGACTGTGCAATAGAAGGATTGGTGAAGTTCTTATCCTGACTGACTGACTGAATAGAAGGATTGGTGAAGTTCTTATCCTGACTGACTGAATAGAAGATTGGTGAAGTTCTTATTCTGACTGACTGAATAGAAGATTGTGAAGTTCTTATTCTGACTGACTGACGATAGAAGGATTGGTGAAGTTCTTATTCTGACTGACTGACTGAATAGAAGGATTGGTGAAGTTCTTATTCTGACTGACTGAATAGAAGGATTGGTGAAGTTCTTATTCTGACTGACTGACTGAATAGAAGGATTGGTGAAGTTCTATCCTGACTGACTGACTGAAAAAATTGGTGAAGTTCTTATTCTGACTTGACTGAATAGAAGGATTGGTGAAAGTTCTTATCTGCTGACTGACTGAATAGAAGGATTGGTGAAGTTCTTATCCTGACTGACTGACTGAATAGAAGGATTGGTGAAGTTCTTATTCTGATTGACTGAATAGAAGGATTGGTGAAGTTCTTATCCTGACGTTGAACTGAATAGAAGATTGGTGAAGTTCTTATCCTGACTGACTATGAATAGAAGGATTGAGTGAGTTCTTATTTCTGACTGACTGATAATAGAAGGATTGGTGAAGTTCTTATTCTGACTGACTGACTAAAGGATTGGTGAAGTTCTTACCGACTGATGCTGAATAGAAGATTGAATTCATATTTGAGACTGACTGATGAAGGATGGGATTCTTACCTGATGACTGATAGCAACGATTGGTAACGTCTATTCTGACTGACTGAATAGAGGATTGGTGATTCCTTATTCTGACTGACTGAATAGAAGGATGTGACTGTTCTTATCCTGACGTGACGACTTGAATAGAGGATTGTGAGTTCCTTATCTGCCTGACGATGACAAGAAGCATTGTGAAGTCTAAGTTTGACTGACTGAAGAAGGATTGTGAAGTTCTTATTCTGACTGACTGACTAATAGAAGCATTGGTCTGAAGTTCTTATTCCGACTGACGCAATAGAAGATTGGTGAAGTCTTCTGACTGACTGCAATAGAAGGATGTGAAGTTCTATCTACTGACTGAAGAAGGATTCGTGACAGTCTTCTTATCATGACTGACTGACTGACTAAGAAGGACTTCCCTAAGTTCTATCTGACATACGACTGATAGAAGGATTCCTGACAGTTCTTTCACTGACTGACGAATAGAGGATCCTGATTCTTATTCTGACTGACTGAAGAAGGATGGGAAGTTCTATCTGATGACTGAAAGAAGGATTGGTAAGTTCCTTATCTGACTGACGACTAGAAGGATTGTCAAGTTCTTATTCTGACTGACTGACTGAATAGAAGGATTGGTGAAGTTCTTATCTGACTGACTGACTGAATAGAGGACTGGTGAAGTTCTTATTCGACTACTGACTAGAAGGACTGGTGAAGTTCTATCCTGACTGAACTGCACTGAATAGAAGCATTGGTGACGTTCCTATCTGATGACGACATGAAGGATGTGAAGTCTTATCTGACTGACTGACTGATAGACTTGGTACATTCTTTTCGACGATGAACAGCATGCTAAGTTCTTATCTACTGACTGACTGAATAGAAGCTGGTGCAAGTTCTATCGACTGACTGACGAATAGAAGGATTCCTGAAGTTCTTAAGTCAGACTGACTGATAGAAGGATTGTGAAGTTCTTATCGTCTGCTGACTGAATAAGGTTGTGAAGTTCTATTCTGACTACTGACTAGAAGGATGGTCAAGTCTTATCCTACGACTGACTGAATAGAAGGACTTCGTGAAGTTATTATCCTGACATGACTGACTGATAGAGGATGAGTCTTATTTGTACTGACTGACTAAATAGAAGGATTGGTGAAGTTCTTATTCTGACTGACTGATGAATATCCATGAAGCAGTAGCACACTACATGGGAAACCTAAATATCTCAACCATGACTAGAACTGTCCTACAGTCTGTCGACAGTAAACAGCACTATGACTGAAGATGCCCTACAGTCTGTCCACAGTACAGCACTGACTAGAGGACTGTCCCTAAGTCTGTCACAGTACGCACTGCTAAGGACTGTCCTTACAGTTCCCATGTAGAGCACTAGACAGAGACTGTCTACAGATGTCCCGTAACGCACTACACTAGAGGATCCCATGTCTGTCTACGATACAGCAAGATGAGCTGAAGACTGTCCTGTCGTCAAGAAATGCACTTACACTAGGACTGTCCTACAGTTGTCAACTAAGTACGCACGATAGAAGGTATGTCCCTCAGCTGCCACAGTAAGACTAGACTAGAGGACTGTCTACAGGTGCTCCCATACGAGACTACGCTAGAGGACTGCTACAGTCTGACAGTACGCTTGCATGGACTGAGGATGTCTACAGCTGTAAGTACATGAGATAGAGGACTGTCCTACTAGTCTGTCAGGATAACAGCTACTAAGAGTGACTGTCCCTACAGTCTGTCCAAGTAACAGATTACCTAGAGATGTTAGTCGTGTCCATAACAGCACTACGACTAGAGGACTGTCCCTACAGTCTGTCACAGTAACAGCACTACGAACTAGAGGATGCCCCTACAGGCTGTCCACAGGTAACAGCACTACGACTAGAGACTGTCCCTACAGTCTGTCCACAGTAACAGCACTACGACTAGAGGACTGTCCTACAGTCTGTCCACAGTAACAGCACTACGACTAGAGGACTGTCCCTACAGTCTGTCCACAGTAACAGCACTATCGACTAGAGGACTGTCCCTACAGTCTGTCCACAGTAACAGCACTACGACTAGAGGACTGCCCCTACAGTCTGTCCACAGTAACAGCACTACGACTAGAGGACTGTCCCTACAGTCTGTCCACAGTAACAGCACTACGACTAGAGGACTGTCCACAGTCTGTCACGTAACAGCACTAGACTAGGGACTGTCCCTACAGTCTGTCCACAGTAACAGCACTATGACTAGAGGACTGTCCCTACAGTCGGTCCACAGTAACAGCACTACGGACTAGAGGACTGTCCCCTACAGTTCCCTTCCAACAGTAACAGCACTATGACTAGAGACTGTTCCCTAAAGACGGTCCACATGTAACAGCACTAACGCACCTTTATCTTGTCCTTGGTTTTTATTTGTAACGAGTAACAATGAGAGATGGAAATCCATTCGTAACAGTAAGAGAGGGTAAGGTGAAACCTAAATATCCTCCAACCATGACTAAATAACAGCAGAGAGAGAGAGATAACAAGAGGCCTTCGTCTGAAATGGCACCCTATTTTCCTAGACAGTGCACTACTGGACAAAAGTAGTGCACTGTCTAGGGAATAGGGTTCCATGCTGGAGGCAACCAGAGAGTTTCTAAGAAGCACTGACGCAAAATCAGAAGCGGGCGTCGCTACGATGAGAGGGAGAGCTGAGAGGCTGTGGTCTAAAGACAATACGTTCATCTAGGACTCGTTCATCACCATGTTAGTAAAGCTATAGTGAAGCTGAGGAGATGAGGGAGAGGCGGTTATCTGACTGAGGAGACAGAGACTGTTTAAGGTGCATGCTATGGAGGTCTGACAGGGACAGTTGACTATTGATTGGGGATGAGATGAATTGATTGAGGAATTGATCGCAATATTGATTAAGGATAACAGGTCAAAGTACTAAGTTGGTGGGTTTTACCAGTTGGTGTGTGTACCATAGAAATAGAATGACTGGTAATTACTAGTGGTAATCTATGCTGTATGCTGTTTTACAGTTGTATCTGAGAAGATTGCATGTTCAGGTTTCAGTGTTGAGTTGAGTTCTGGAAGCCAGGTGAGATTTGTTTTGGTTGATGTAGTTGGTTGTTGCTACAGTAGTTGCTTTATCTTTCTCCCTACAGCAGACGTGCGGAGCAAGGAGCTCCCGGTTCACGACAGGGAGGTGATATTGGAGCGGCCACCGGGTGGCGCCACGATCCTCTGTGCTGAGCGCCGTGGGATGTGGTCGTCAATCTGAGTTCCTGTATCGGAGAACAAGAACAAAGACCCGTTACAAACAGTTGAGTACATTTTGGTTCTGATAGGGGTAAGGCAGTATAACTAAGACACAACCCTGCCTTCTGCTACAACATCAAGACAAAAGGATACGTGCAGTTTCCTGTCTGGTACTTCCAAAGAGTGAAAGAGATTTGATCTTAATGAGAATAACCCTGTATAAATAAAGGTTACATAAAAAAAAGTGAGGAGAAACATCCACACCCAGTAAAGAGTAGATGAAGCTTACCCATACCGGATAGGGTGAAACCAGACTGGTGCAGGTTCCTGGCGGGGCCGAGGGGGCCCTTCCCTGGGCACTGGGGCCCCCTGCTGGAGGGAGTGGCCGGCACTGACTTAGTCATGCTGATGACATCATGGACCGGTCCATCATAGTTCCCTCGGGGGACGCCACGGGCATCAGCCATCTGGAGAGGGAGGAGAATGTCATGTAAAGGATCATGTAGATCATCAGCCACCTGGAGAGAATGTCATGTAAAGGATCATGTGGTTCATCAGCCATCTGGAGAGAATGTCATGTAAAGGATAATGTGGTTCATCAGCCATCTGGAGAGAATGTCATGTAAAGGATAATGTAGTTCATCAGCCACCTGGAGAGAATGTCATGTAAAGGATAATGTAGCCTTCTGGTCACTTTAAATGTTAAAAAGTTATTTACTGTATAATATACAGTAAGTAAAGGGTGGGAAGAGAGTTATGCTACATTTGGCAAAGCACAAGATGGGATGGACTTTTATACTATTGCACTCTTACACTCTCTATTACACTCTTAACTCTTACCCTGCGTAGCCATTAGCCCTTAGCTGTTAGCCCTTAGCCGTTGGCCGTTAGCCCTTAGCCATTAGCCCTTAGCCCTTAGCTGTTAGCCCTTAGCCGTTAGCCCTTAGCCGTTAGCCCTTAGCCGTTAGCCCTTAGCCCTTAACTTGCTGCGGGCTGTTGCTGTTGTCATTTCAAATTTTCTCAAAGTTGCATATGCACTTCAAAAGCACTGTTTATTTTAAACCTAATGTGGTAGAGTTTATGGCCTCTGTCTGTAAAATGTACCTCTCGCTTCAAGTGACTTCTGCAACAGGATAATGACAGGGCCATTTAGGGACGGATTGTTCTTGTTCCTGTTTAGCTCTCAGCTCTTACCCTTCACTGGTTCTCTGCTTTGATCTCTTACTCTGCTGCAGGCTTTGAGAAATTATACAACTGAATGGTGGCAAAAGCTTTAAGCCACATTTGGTCAAGTTTGCGTCTGACAATGAAATGTCCCTCTTGCTTCAAGTGAGATCTGCAACACGATAATGACAAGGACATTTAACACCCCTGCTGCTCCTCTTTTTGGACAGAACATCTTTCTCCTCATTAGGTCATTCAATTCCCAAGCTGGCCCCATTCCATCATGGCCACCTAATCATCCCCCTCATTCCTAATTGGGATATATCACTCCTCAGCTCTACGCCATGCTAGCTGATGAGTGGTAAACCTTTTGGCACAAAATGGTTGTGTGCATTACCCAAGTGGATACCACACATTGGTGGTGGATGAGGTGAGATCTCCCTTACTATGTAAAGCTCTTTGAGTACCTCAGTAGGTAGAAAGGCGCTACATAAATCCAATCTATTTTATTTTTTTTGTTATCCATTAGCTACTAGCTCTTACCCTGCTTCTGTAATGTATCCCACATGCTCCTCTTTTTTGTTGGGACTGTATGTCAGTTTCCTCATAACCTTTTACCCTGCTGTGCTTTTACCCTGCAAGCATTAGCCCCTAGCTCTTACCCTGCTAGCATTAGCCACTAGCTCTTACCCTGCTAGCCCTTAGCCCCTAACTTTTACCCTGCTAGCCCTTAGCCACTAGCTCTTACCCTGCTAGCCCTTAGCCCCTAGCTCCTACCCTGCTAGCCCTTAGCCACTAGCTCTTACCCTGCTAGTCCTTAGCCCCTAACTTTTACCCTGCTAGCCCTTAGCTCCTAGCTCTTACCCTGGTTAGCCTTCACCTCTCTTCTCTTATCCTGCTGGTTGTTAGCCCCTTAACTCTTACCCTGGTTAGCCTTCACCTCTCTTCTCTTACCCTGCTATCCCTTAGCTCCTAGCTCTTAACCTGGTTAGCCTTCACCTCTCTTCTCTTACCCTACTAGCCCTTAGCTCCTAGCTCTTACCCTGGTTAGCCTTCACCTCTCTTCTCTTACCCTGCTAGCCCTTAGCTCCTGACTCTTACCCTGGTTAGCCTTCACCTCTCTTCTCTTACCCTGCTAACCCTTAGCCCCTAGCTCTTACCCTGGTTAGCCTTCACCTCTCTTCTCTTACCCTGCTGCGTGCTTTGATCCTCTTGTAGACGTAGTCAGGGAAGGACTTCCTGGGTACGAAGCGTCCAGAGCCCTCGGTGACGTTCAGCTTGCCCCCCTCCAGGACGATCTTCCCCTGGCTGATCACCACCACCGGGGCTCCACGCACCTCCATGCCCTCAAAGATGTTCATCTCCACTGTCTGGAAACACACACAAGGACAGTATAATGAACATCCAGCTCAGACATGATATCATCATCATCCCACCCTTACAGACAGACGGACATAACCCCTCCCTGAGTTATAACATTATATCTGAAACACACAGAAGGACAAGGACAGGTCCTTCCTCCAGCTCAAACGTTATATCATCACACCCAACAGATAGACAGACAGACAGATTGGAGAGGGTTGTCTGAATTATGTCTGGAGGTTGACTGTGAAAGAGAGTAGGAAGGTCATACCAGTATATGTGTGTGTGTGTGTGTGTGTGTGTGTGTGTGTGTGTGTGTGTGTGTGTGTGTGTGTGTGTGTGTGTGTGTGTGTACCAGTGCGTGGGTCGTGGCTGAGATGGTCTTGGTCTCCTTGGGGTTCCAGATCACGATGTCTGCGTCTGACCCCACAGCGATCCTTCCTTTACGAGGATACAGGTTGAACAGCTTGGCAGCGTTGGTGCTCGTCACCGCAACAAACTCATTCTCATCCATCTTGCCTGTAGCCTGGGGAATACAGAAGAAAACATAATCTTCACAATCAGGAAAGAGCTGTCTTTTAAACAATAATGCAAAGACGTTACTGTTAAAGACCTTTCGTATCATTGTGAGAACCAGTGAAGAAGAAGAAGAAGAAGAAGAAGAAGAAGTAGAAGAAGAAGTAGAAGAAGAAGAAGAAGAAGAAGAAGAAGAAGAAGAAGAAGAAGAAGAAGAAGAAGAAGAAGAAGAAGAAGAAGAAGCAACAACAGATGTGTCCTACGGTGGTCTAGCGGTCTAAACTGCTGCCTCCAAATCACATATATCTCTGCAGTATGAGTTTGAATCTGGCCAACTGCAAAAACTCTTTATCCGTCTTTCCCACTGTAAAGCGTACAATGCCAAGATATAAACCTTTAAAAAAGAAACAACAACAGATAACATACCACAGCCTTCTCCCAGACAATGGCCAGCCTCTCCTCGATGCCGTTAGTTCCCTCAGGGATGAGGGTGAAGTTGTCTTTCCCAACAGCCTTCTGGGCCGTCGAGAAGGTGCTGTGGCCACTGGCCGTCACCTGAAGGTCTCCACTGTGGACCAAGAGAACAGGACAGTCAGACCACCGTGGACCAAGAGAACAGGACAGTCAGACCACCGTGGACCAAGAGAACAGGACAGTCAGACCACTGTGGACCAAGAGAACAGGACAGTCAGACCACCGTGGACCAAGAGAACAGGACAGTCAGACCACCGTGGACCAAGAGAACAGGACAGTCAGACCACTGTGGACCAAGAGAACAGGACAGTCACCACGTGGACCAAGAACAGGACAGTCAGACCACCGTGGACCAAGAGAACAGGACAGTCAGACCACTGTGGACCAAGAGAACAGGACCGTTCAGACTCCGTTGGAACAAGAGAACAGGACAGTCAGACCCACGTGGACCAAGAGAACGGACAGTCAGACCACCGGCGACTAAAAGAGAACAGGATACTCAGACCACTGTGGACCAAGGAACAGGACAGTCAGACCAACGTGGACCCAAGAAGAACAGGAAGTGAACCACCGTGGACCAAGAGAACCGGGACAGTCAGACCACCCGGTGGACCAAGAGAACAGGACAGTCAGACCCACGTGGACCAAGCAGAAACAGGACAGTCAGGACCCACTGTGGACCAAGAGAAGAAGAACAGGACAGTTCAACCACCGTGGTACCAAGAGAACAGGACAGTCAGGACCACCGTGACCAACAGAGAACAGGACAGTCAGACCCATGTGGAACCAAGAGAACAGGACAGTGCAGACACCGCTGGACCAGAGAAACGGACAGTCAGACCACTGGGACCAAGAGAACAGGACCGTCAGACCACGTGGACCAAGAGAAAACAGGACCGTCAGACCACCGTGACCAAGAGACAGGACAGTCAGACAACGTGGACCAAGAGAACAGGACAGTCAGACCACCTGGACCAAGAGAACAGACAGTCAGACCACGTGGACCAAGAGAACAGGACAGTGAGACCACCGGTGGACAAGAGAACAGCACAGTCAGACCACGTGTGACTAAGAGAACAGACAGTCAGACCACGTGGACCAAGAGAACAGACAGTGAGACCACTGGGACAGGACAGGACAGTCAGACCACGTGGACCACAGGAGACAAGGAATCAGACCACTGTGGACCAAGAGAACAGGACAGTCAGACCACCGTGACCAAGAAACAGGACGTCACCACGTGGACCAAGAGAACAGACAGTCGACCACCGTGGGACCAAGAGAACAGACACGTCAGAGCACCTGACAAGAGGACATGCACTGCCAAGAGAACAGGACAGTCAGACCGTGCCAGCACAGGAATCGACCACTGGACCAGAGAACGGACAGTAAACACACAGTGAGTCACCATCAGGGATGACTAGAGAACACACAGTGAGTCACCATCAGGGATGACTGAGAGAACAGCACAGTGAGTCACCATCAGGGATGACTAAGAGAACAGCACAGTGAGTCACCATCAGGGATGACTAAGAGAACAGCACAGTGAGTCACCATCAGGGATGACTAAGAGAACAGCACAGTGAGTCACCATCAGGGATGACTAAGAGAACAGCACAGTGAGTCACCATCAGGGATGACTGAGCGCACAGAAGATGATTAATTAATTAATAATCTGCCTTCTGGTGGTTTTAGGGTGATTCCACTTTTTCTTTGTTGAACAGTGTCTGTGAGAGCTGTGAACAGTGTCTGTGAGAGCTGTGAACAGTGTCTGTGAGAGCTGTGAACAGTGTCTGTGAGAGCTGTGAACAGTGTTTGTGAGAGCTTTGAACAGTGTTTGTGAGAGCTTTGAACAGTGTCTGTGAGAGCTTTGAACAGTGTTTGTGAGAGCTTTGAACAGTGTCTGTGAGAGCTTTGAACAGTGTTTGTGAGAGCTTTGAAGTCTGTACTAGATGCAGACAAAGTAATTCAGCTATAATTCAGAAATGTTCTGTCTTTAGTGTCTGTGTCTCTATGGCTGCATTTACAGAGGGCAGCCCAATTGTATTTTTGACCAATCAAATCAGATCTTTTGCCAATAAATGGGAAAGATCAGAATGGGGCTGCCTGTGTAAACACAGCCTATGTGTTCTCACCAGGAAAGCAGGGAGTTGAGGTAGTCAGGGGTGCTGGGGTCTGGGCTGAGGGGTGGGGACATGACGAACGCTGCAGCCTTAGCCCAGTTCTTACTCCAATAGTGTGATCCGTCTGTCCCAAGGCTGGCTGTGATTGGCTCGCCATAAACCACCATGCCTGAAAATCATCCAATCAAAAAAAAGACAAGGCGTTTGTACAAGAAGTATCCGTTTTTCAGACGTCTTTTGCCAGGTCAACAACAACATGTGTTTAGCCATCAAAGTTAACAACGAATGTATAACATCATTTCCAAATGGATACAAATAAAGTTATTATTGAAGCATTTTAAACCCAGTCTCACCCTTCTTCCGGGCCTTGGCGATGACATCAGCAGCTGACTTGCTCATCACCTTGGTGATGTAGAGAGGACAGTTGGCCTGCTTGGCGATGGTGATGGCCCTGTACACCGCCTCTGTCTCCACCTAGTGGTCACAAATGAAACACCTTACTGTAACACCTCAACCAACAAATCACGATTTCCACTAATTACCACAGCCACAAAATCAAAATTGGTAAGGTAAAAAATGGTTCCAAAAGAAAAAATGCTTCCAAAAGGGTTATTCGGCTGTCTCCATAGGAGAACACTTTTTGATTCGAGGTAGAACGCTTTTTGGTTCCAGGTAGAACTCTTTTGGGTTCCATGTAGAACCCTCTGTGGAAAGGGTTCTACATGGAACCGAAAAGGGTTATACCTGGAACCAAAAGGGTTATACCTGGAACCAAAAATAGTTATTCAAAGGGTTCTCCTATGGGGACAGCCGAAGAACCCTTTTATGTTCTAGATATCACCTTTTTTTCTAAGAGTGTAGGGTTAGGTTTAAAATCAGATTTTAAGAAGATAAATGGTAGAAATAGGTGTATGACTTTGTGGCTGTGGTAACTAGTGATTACCACAAATCACTTCGGTAACACTCAGACCATGACTTTGAATCTCCTAAAGTAGGTGGTCTATGGTAAAGTCAATATTCACCCGGCACAGCCAGAAGAGGACTGGCCCACTCCTCGGAGCCTGGTTCCTCTCTAGGTTTCTTCCTATAGGTTCCTGCCTTTCTACAGAGTTTTTCCTAGCCACTGTGCTTCTACATCGACATTGCTTGCTCTTTGGGGTTTTAACACTTTGTGACAACTGCTGATGTAAAAAGGTCTTTATAAAAATACATTTGATTGATTGAGATTACAATGTTCAGTCTCATTTCCATTATTGCGTCAATGGGAGAGTGGAAAATTCCTCCAGAAGGTATTTGCAAGAAGCAATCACATGTTTAGTCTCCTGGTTTCAAACCCCTCTGGCACTAGCAGTAGCACTGGCTCATAACAAGAGACTGTACTGTGATAATGTAAATTAGGCTATTGTTCACACAGAGACAGGAAAGTCCCTACCTCCTCTGGGTGACACAGCACATGTCCCTCAGGCCCAGTGATCCCCAGCTCCAGTAGTCGCTTTTGCTCCTATATAGATAGAAGGGGAAAGATGGAAACTACACTTCACATGCTGCAATCAAAGATGGCAGTTTATTCTGCTCCTATATAGATAGAAGGGGAAAGATAGAAACTACACTTCACATGCTGCAATCAAAGATGGCAGTTTATTCTGCTCCTATATAGATAGAAGGGGAAAGATGGAAACTACACTTCACATGGTGCAATCAAAGACGGCAGTTTATTCTGCTCCTATATAGATAGAAGGGGAAAGATGGAAACTACACTTCACATGGTGCAATCAAAGACGGCAGTTTATTCTGCTCCTATATAGATAGAAGGGGAAAGATGGAAACTACACTTCACATTGTGCAATCAAAGACGGCAGTTTATTCTGCTCCTATATAGATAGAAGGTGAAAGATGGAAACTACACTTCACATGGTGCAATCAAAGACGGCAGTTTATTCTGCTCCTAGAAGGGGAAAGATGTAAACTACACTTCACATGGTGCAATCAAAGACGGCAGTTTATTCTGCTCCTATATAGATAGAAGGAGAAAGATGTAAACTACACTTCACATGGTGCAATCAAAGACGGCAGTTTATTCTGCTCCTATATAGATAGAAGGTGAAAGATGGAAACTACACTTCACATGGTGCAATCAAAGACGGCAGTTTATTCTGCTCCTAGAAGGGGAAAGATGTAAACTACACTTCACATGGTGCAATCAAAGATGGCAGTTTATTCTGCTCCTATATAGATAGAAGGGGAAAGATGTAAACTACACTTCACATGGTGCAATCAAAGACGGCAGTTTATTCTGCTCCTATATAGATAGAAGGGGAAAGATGGAAACTACACTTCACATGGTGCAATCAAAGACGGCAGTTTATTCTGCTCCTATATAGATAGAAGGGGAAAGATGGAAACTACACTTCACATGGTGCAATCAACAATGTCCTTTTCCCAGGAGAGATATGCCCAGTCACTGTCAAAGGCCAGCAGTAAAATACTGAAGTCTTTCAAGTCAACAGTACAGTAGCCTACCTCGTCAATGATGTCTCCGTTCTCAGCGTGAACCTGAGCGATGGCACCCAGGTCTCTAATGATACCAAACATCTCATACATCTGGCATGGGAAATAGATAAAAACAAGGGCTGTTTCTCAATATGCCGACTACCAATGTGCTCCACACTCACATGCTCCAAGTGAATTCTCTGGAGTACGTTCTTGTGAGGACGAGACTGTGGAGAACGCATAAAACATTACATACGGAGAAGCACTCACACTCCCCCTACTATGAGAATACACTTGGAGCATGAGGGTGTGGAGCACGGTAGTATGCATATTGAGAAACACCCAAGGTTATTGTTTACGTTACATTTGACAGACGTGTGAATTAATTGTTTGAAGAAATAAAACTTACTTGACTATCTGAGCTCTGGAATTTGTCCTTGTAAGCCATGAAGATCAAGAAGGAATTGACTCCTGGAAAAATTCAAACATAACACATTTCAAACGATTTCAAGGAATTGTGCAGATGTGTGTGTGTGTCTGTGTGTCTGTGTCTGTGTGTCTGTGTGTGTGCGCGCCTGTGTGTGCATGTGGTTGTGTGTGTGGTGTGTGTGTGTGTGTGTGTGTGTGTGTGTGAGTGTGTGTGTGTGTGTGAGTGTGTGTGTGTGTGTGTGTGTGTGTGTGTGAGTGTGTGAGTGTCTGAGCTCAGCTGGGTAAGAGGGAGTTGGTGGGCTGCCTTGCTGTCTGTGTGGATTAGTGAGTGTCAGCATCATCCCGTGTACAGTATGTGTCCCTAGTGTTGTGTTGTCGCCTGCAGTAATCCTCTAGCTGCATGGACACAGGTGTATATGTGTGTGTGTGTGTGTGTGTGTGAGTGTGTGTGTGCGTGTGTGTGTGTGCGTGTGTGTGCGTGTGCGTGCGTGCGTGCATGTGCTCGTGCTCGCTCCATGGACATGAGGGAGGTAGAGTAGCAGAGATGCAGTACTTCATGAGACCCATGGGGGATTCAAAGGAAAACTACAACACTGGATTCTCCTAACAGCAGTGTATCAGATACATTACCACAACACTATTAACAACTGGACATGACACCTTTGACAATTATTTTTACACAAGCTAATACCATCTCAGATACTCATCTAGTAGTTATATGGTAGGGGATGACTTAAGAGTAAAATTGGGTGGTTTTGTGTCAGACAGATAGATATTTGAAGACAGACACAGATAGATTTTGAACTTCCTCAAACAACACCTTTATCCTTCACCAGACTCTCCATCTCTTCAAAGAGTCCGTCGTGCCAGCGTGTGATGTCGATGTGGACAGGAGAGAAGAGGACCAGGTCAACTATAGGACAGGAAGAATGGACCAGGTTCAACTATAGGACAGGAGAAAAGAAGACCAGGTCAACTATAGGACAGAGAAGAAGGAGACCAGGTCAACTATAGGACAGGAGAAAGAAGGGACCAGGTCAACTATAGGACAGGAAGGAGAGGACCAGGTCAACTATAGGACAGGAGAGAAGAAGGAGACCAGGTCAACTATAGGACGGGAAAGAGAGAGTGACCAGGTCAACTATAGGACAGGAAGAAAGGACCAGGTCAACTATAGGACAGGAGAAAAAGGACCAGGTCAACTATAGGACGGAGAAGACGAGGACCAGGTCAACTAGACAGGAAAGCATCCATGACATCTGAGAAAAAAAAAACAAGGCGTGAAAGGACCATGTCACTATCCATACCTGGACCGTGAGAACGAGATGTGGAGAACATATAGGATACAGAGAATCACAGCACATATAGAGAGAAAAGACCAGGTTTTCACATGACAGGAGGAAGAAATGACATCCTAAGCAAGCGTAAGCAGACAGATCAAAGACAGGAGAATGACCTGGTCAACATAACATGAGGAAGGCCATGGTCTATGAGGAGCTGGCAAAGAAGCAGGGACCAGGTCAACTATAGGACAGGAGAAAAAAGAGGACCAGGTCAACTATGAGGAGGACAGGTCATTAGACAGAGGAAGGGACCAGGTCAACTATAGGACAGGAGAGAAGAGACCAGGTCAACTATAGGACAGGAAGAGAGATGGACCAGGTCAACTATAGGACAGGAGAGAAGAGACCAGGTCAACTATAGGACAGGAGAGAAAGGACCAGGTCAACTATAGGACAGGAGAAGAAGAGGACCAGGTCAACTATAGGACAGGAAAGAGGAGTGGACCAGGTCAACTATAGGACAGAGAGAAGAGGACCAGGTCAACTATAGGACAGGAGAGAAGAAGAGGACCAGGTCAACTATAGGACAGGAGAGAGAGGACCAGGTCACTATGCAGAAAAAGACATGTCAATAGGACAGGAGAGAAGAGGACCAGGTAACTATAGGACAGGAGAGAAGAGGACCAGGTCAACTATAGGACAGGAGAGAAGAGGACCAGGTCAACTATAGGACAGGAGAAAAGAAGAGGACCAGGTCAACTATAGGACAGGAGAGAAGAGGACCAGGTCAACTATAGGACAGGAGAGAAGAGGACCAGGTCAACTATAGGACAGGAGAAAGAGGACCAGGTCAACTATAGGACAGGAGAGAAGAGGACCAGGTCAACTATAGGACAGGAAGAGAGGGACCAGGTCAACTATAGGACAGGAGAGAAGAGGACCAGGTCAACTATAGGACAGGAGAGAAGGACCAGGTCAACTATAGGACAGGAAAGAAGAGGACCAGGTCAACTATAGGACAGGAAAGAGGATCCAGGTCAACTATAGGACAGGAGAGAAGAGACCAGGTCAACTATAGGACAGGAGAGAAGAGGACCAGGTCAACTATAGGACAGGAGAGAAAATAGGACCAGGTCCAACTATAGGACAGGAGAAAAGAAGAGGACCAGGTCAACTATAGGACAGGAGAAAGAAGAGGACCAGGTCAACTATAGGACAGGAGAGAAGAGGACCAGGTCAACTATAGGACAGGAGAGAAGAGGACCAGGTCAACTATAGGACAGGAGAGAAGAGGACCAGGTCAACTATAGGACAGGAGAAACGAAGGAGCCAGGTCAACTATAGGACAGGAGAGAAGAGGACCAGGTCAACTATAGGACAGGAGAGAAGAGGACCAGGTCAACTATAGGACAGGAGAGAAGAGGACCAGGTCAACTATAGGACAGGAAAGAGGAGGTGGACCAGGTCAACTATAGGACAGGAGAGAAGAGGACCAGGTCAACTATAGGACAGGAGAGAAGAGGACCAGGTCAACTATAGGACAGGAGAGAAGAGGACCAGGTCAACTATAGGACAGGAGAGAAGAGGACCAGGTCAACTATAGGACAGGAGAGAAGAGAGGACCAGGTCAACTATAGGACAGGAGAGAAGAGGACCAGGTCAACTATAGGACAGGAGAGAAGAGGACCAGGTCAACATGGACAGGAGAGGAGACCAGTAACTAGGACAGAAAAGGAGACCAGGTCAACTATAGACGATAAGAGAGGACAGGTCAATAGGAAGGAAGAGGACCAGGTCAACTATAGGACAGGAGAGAAGAGGACCAGGTCAACTATAGGACAGGAGAGAGAGAGGACCAGGTCAACTATAGGACAGGAGAGAAGAGGTAACTCAGGTCAACTATATGGACAGGAGAAAAGAGGACCAGGTCAACTATAGGAAGGAGAAAAGAGGACCAGGTCAACTATAGGACAGGAGAGAGAAGAGGACCAGGTCAACTATAGGACAGGAAGAAGAGGGACCAGGTCAACTATAGGACAGGAGAGAAGAGGACCAGGTCAACTATAGGACAGGAGAGAAGAGGATCAGGTCAACTATAGGACAGGAGAGAAGATGACCAGGTCAACTATAGGACAGGAGAGAAGAGGACCAGGTCAACTAAAGGACAGGAGAGAAGAGGACCAGGTCAACTATATGACAGGAGAGAAGAGAACCAGGTCAACTATAGGACAGGAGAGAAGAGGACCAGGTCAACTATAGGACAGGAGAGAAGAGGACCAGGTCAACTATAGGACAGGAGAGAAGTGGACCAGGTCAACTATAGGATCAGGAGAGAAGAGGACCAGGTCAACTATAGGACAGGAGAGAAGAGGACCAGGTCAACTATAGGACAGGAGAGAAGAGGACCAGGTCAACTATAGGACAGGAGAGAAGAGGACCAGGTCAACTATAGGACAGGAGAGAAGAGGACCAGGTCAACTATAGGACAGGAGAGAAGAGGACCAGGTCAACTATAGACAGGAGAGAAGAGACCAGGTCAACTATAGGACAGGAGAGAAGAGGACCAGGTCAACTATAGGACAGGAGAAAGAGGACCAGGTCAACTATAGGACAGGAGAGAAGAGGACCAGGTCAACTATAGGACAGAAGAGAAGAGGACCAGGTCAACTATAGGACAGGAGAGAAGAAGGGAACACAGGTCAACTATAGGACAGGAAGAAGAGGACCAGGTCAACTATAGGACAGGAGAGAAGAGAGGACCAGGTCAACTATAGGACAGGAGAGAAGAGGACCAGGTCAACTATAGGACAGGAGAGAAGAGGACCAGGTCAACTAAAGGACAGGAGAGAAGAGGACCAGGTCAACTATAGGACAGGAGAGAAATAAAGAGAGGGACCAGGTCAACTATAGGACAGGAGAGAAGAGAACCAGGTCAACTATAGGACAGGAAAAAGAAGAGGACCAGGTCAACTATAGGACAGGAAGAGAGGGACCAGGTCACTATAGGACAGGAGAGAAGAGGATCAGGTCAACTATAGGACAGGAGAGAAGAGGACCAGGTCAACTATAGGACAGGAGAGAAGAGGACCAGGTCAACTATAGGAGGTCTATAAAGGACAGGAGAAGAGGACCAGGTCAACTATAGGACAGGAGAAAAAGAGGACCAGGTCAACTATAGGACAGGAGAGAAGAGGACCAGGTCAACTATAGGACAGGATAGAAGAAGAGGACCAGGTCAACTATAGGACAGGAGAGAAGAGGACCAGGTCAACTATAGGACAGGAGAGAAGAGGACCAGGTCAACTATAGGACAGGAGAGAAGAGGACCAGGTCAACTATAGGACAGGAGAAAAGAAGAGGACCAGGTCAACTATAGGACAGGAAAGAGGAGGTGGACCAGGTCAACTATAGGACAGGAGAGAAGAGGATCAGGTCAACTATAGGACAGGAGAGAAGAGGAGGATCAGGTCAACTATAGGACAGGAGAGAAGAGGAGGACCAGCTCAACTATAGGACAGGAGAGAAGAGGGATGGGTGAGGAGAGGAAGGGCAGACAGAAACAACACACTGATCAGAGTAGTCTACTTTAAATAAGTCAACAATCACAATCTTTCTTTTCAGATGAAACATCAGACTCCGTTATGTCAAAGTGTCAATGTTACAAAGTCAAAGGCTGCTCAGGCAGGACCAGGTCAACAATGGGACAGACAGGAGGAGAGAGGAAACCACACACTGAGCACTGTGCAGAGGACTTCAAATAACTCCTGTCAACCCAGGTTCTTTCTTTCCAGATCGATGACGATCCACGAATAATGCAGACGACGCAAAGTTACAAAACTAGCCATTAAAAACATCAGACTGATATTTCTTCCAATGTTACGTCCCTAACATATACAGCTCACATAAACAACCCTGTGGGGTTCTGTTCTGCTGGTTAGACTAACACAGTAACTGTTGGAGGAGAGTTAAAGGGTAAAGAGTTGGGAGTAAAGTCTCTCTGACAGGCTGGGATAGCATGACCCTGTTTCAGATGATCTAACTGCAGCAGACAGACATGCTCTCCTCTCCTCCAGCTCTCCTCCGTCTCCCCCTTTTTCTCCCCCGTCTCTCCCGCTCAGAGAGATTCCCTCTCAGCCTGTCTCACTCCCTGCCACAAAGGACCATAAATTGCATCCCTCTGATCTGATCCAGAGGCAGCTGCCCTACCCCTCCCTCCCTCCCTCCCTACCTCCCTCCCTCCCTCCCTCTCCCTGTACCACCTTCCTCCCTCCCTCTCCCTGTACCACCTCCCTCCCTCCCTACCTCCCTCCCTCCCTCTCCCTGTACCACCTTCCTCCCTCCCTCTCCCTGTACCACCTCCCTCCCTACCTCCCTCCCTCCCTCCACCCTTCTCTGTATCCACCTCTCTCCTCCCCCTCCCACCCTCTCTCTGAACCACCCTCTCCCTCCCTCCTCGTCCCTTTCCACTCCTCCTCCTCCCTCCCTCGTCTCCACGTCCACATCCTCCTCCTCCCACCCTCTCTCTTACCACCTCCCTCCCTCCCTCCCTCCCTCCCACCCTCTCTGTCACCACCTCCTCCTTCCCTCCCTCCTCCCTCCCTTCCTGTACCACCTCCTCCTCCCTCCCCCCTCTCTCAATCCCCTCCCCACCCTCTCTTGTCACATCCCTCCTCCCTCCCACCCTCTCTCTGTACCACCTCCCTCCCTCCCTACCTCCCACTCCCTGTACTCAGCCGGAGGTGTAAAGCTCGCCACCATTTGACTCTGGAGCAGTGGAAATGTGTTCTCTGGAGTGCTAAATCATGCTTCACCATCTGGCAGTCCGAATGATGAATCTGGGTTTGGCGGATGCCAGGATAACGCTACCTGCCCCAATGCATAGTGCCAACTGTAAAGTTTGGTGGAGGACTAATAATGGTCTGGGGCTGTTTTTCATGGTCGGGCTAGGCCCCTTAGTTCCAGTGAAGGGAAATGTTAATGCTACAGCATACAATGACATTCTAGATGATTCTGTGCTTCCAACTTTGTGGCAACAGTTTGGGGAAGGTCCTTTCCTGTTTCAGCATGCCAATGCTCCCGTGCACAAAGCAAGGTCCATACAGAAATGGTTTGTTGAGATCGGCGTGGAAGAACTTGACTGGCCTGCACAGAGCCCTGACTTCAACCCCATCGAACACCTTTGGGATGAATTGGAATGCTGACAGCGAGCCAGGCTTAATCGCCCAACATCAGTGTCCGACCTCACTAATGCTCTTGTGGCTGAATGGAAGCAAGTCCCCCGCAGCAATGTACCGACATCTAGTGGAAAGCCGTCCCAGAAGAGTGGAGGCTGTTATAGCAGCAAAGGGGGGGGACCAACTCCATATTAATACCCATGATTTTGGAATGAGATGTTCGAGGAGCAGGTGTCCACATACTTTTTATCATGTAGTGTATTTGTCTACATATCATGTTACTATCTCTATACTGTAAAGTATTTGTCTACATATCATGTTACTATCTCTATACTGTAAAGAATGTGTCTACATATCATGTTACTCTCTCTGTACTGTAAAGTATTTGTCTACACATCATCATGTTTCTCTCTCTGTGCTGTAAAGTATTTGTCTACATATCATGTTACTCTCTCTGTACTGTAAATAATTGGTCTACATATCATGTTACTCTCTAAACTGTAAAGTATTTGTCTACATATCATGTTACTCTCTCTGTGCTGTAAAGTATTTGTCTACATATCATGTTACTCTCTCTATACTGTAAAGTATTTGTCTACATATCATGTTACTCTCTCTGTGCTGTAAAGTATTTGTCTACATATCATGTTACTCTCTCTGCACTGTAAAGTATTTGTCTTCATATCATGTTACTCTCTCTCTGCTGTAAAGTATTTGTCTACATATCATATTACTCTATCTGTACTGTAAAGTATTTGTCTTCATATCATGTTACTCTCTCTATACTGTAAAGTATTTGTCTACATATCATGTTACTCTCTCTGTGCTGTAAAGTATTTGTCTACATATCATGTTACTCTCTCTGTACTGTAAAGTATTTGTCTTCATATCATGTTACTCTCTCTGTGCTGTAAAGTATTTGTCTACATATCATATTACTCTCTCTGTACTGTAAAGTATTTGTCTTCATATCATGTTATCCCTCTCTTCTGCTCTACTCATCTCTCTCTCTCTCGTCTTTTGCTCCTACATCATTCCTCTCTCTCTCTCTCTCTCTCTCTCAGTCTCCTCTACTCTCATCTTCTCTCTCATCTCTCTCTCTCATCTCTCTCTCCGTCGTCTCGTAATCTCTTCCTCTCGTCTACATATCATATCATTACTCTCTCTGTACTGTAAAGATTTGTCTCTATATCATGTTACTCTCCTCTCTCTCTGTAAAGTTTTGCTCCTACATCTCCTACTACTCTCTCCTGTACTGTAAAGTACTTGTACATATCATCGTTACCTTCTCTCTTCTGTTAAGTCTTTGTCTCATTCATCCGTCTACTCTCTCTTCTCTCTCTGTAAAGTATCTGTCTACATTCTGTTTCTCCTCTCTCTGTACTGCTAAAGTCAGCCCTCTGATCTCGTATGTTCACTTCTTCTCTCCTACTCTTCTCTGTCTGGAGTATTTGTCAAATCATCTCTCTGTCTGTATAATACTTTGGTCTTCAAGTTATGCTCTCTGTTCAGTGGTTGTTCATTCTAGTCTTTATCTTACGTCTGTTACTTATGTATAGGTCAAATCAGCTTTGACTCTATGGTTAGATTGTCTGACCATTATTTCGTCTAGGTTGGTTAGTTAGGTTTGTTAGGGTTAGTTAGTGTTACCTTTTTGTAGTTAGTTAGGTGTTAGTTCAGTCGTTTCAGTTAGTTGTGTTAGTTTAGGGTTTTATAGATTAGTTAGGGTTAGTTATGGTTAAGGTTAATTAGGGTATGGTCTTGTAGTTAGTTGTGTCTATTCTGGTTAGGAGTTGGTTAAGAATCCTTGTCTAAGGGTTAATGTCAAGTTGGGTTAAATTAGGTTGTTAGTTTATGCGTACTAATGAGAGGAAACGCCTATGATCATGGTGTGCCACCTCCAGGGTAGCTTGGTCACGTGTAAGTCAGTCTAAGGGCTCAGTGCTTCCATCTGGGAGGTCTGGAGGCTGGTGTTGACATCGACGCCCCCGGGGATCACGATGTGTCCGTAGGCATCCACCGTCTTCACTCCTCTGGGTATAACTATTCAGTTCTACGATTCTGCTTGGGTTAGTGAGGACAGGTGTTCAAGGACAACGGTCACATTCTAACAGCAGTGAGTGCCCTGTCAAGGACAACGTGTAAATTCTAACAGCAAGCTGAGGCATGTTCAAGGAACTGTGTCACATTACCGGAGGTCAGTGTGTCTAGGGCAACGTTGTCACCTTCTGAACAAGGTTCTAGTAGCCTGGTTAAGGACAGGTCAGGTACATTCTAACGCGATGAGTCATGTTCAGGACAACGGTCATTTTAACATGAGGCTGTTCAAGGAACTGGTCTTCTGTTGAGGTTCATGTTCGGACGGTCATTCTAAAGCGTAGGTCTGTTAGACATGGTCACATAGTACTGTGGGTCATTGTTCGAGGCAATCGTGTCATTCTACAGCAGTAGATGTTCGTAGTGTCTGGCCTGCTGTCATGTAGTCTGTGCTGTCGTGAGTGGTCAATTCTGCTGAGGTCATGTGTGTCTGGCTGTCTGTGTCTAGTCTGTCGGGCCTGTCCTGTTGTCTGTATCTGTGTGGTGTCTGTTAGACAGTCACATTCTAAAGCTGTGGTTGTTAGGCAGTCCTTCAGCATGATGTGTCATGTTCAGGACAACTGGTCGTCATTCTAACGTCCTGAGGTCCTGTGTCAATGAAGGTCATTTCAGCTTGGGAGTCACGGACAACGGTCACATTCTAACAGCAGTGAGGTCATGTTCAACAATGTGTACATTCGCGTGAGTCATGTTAGGCACGGTCATTCCTAACAGAAACTACTGAGTGCATTCAACTAAGGTCACATTCGGTAGACAACACATGAGTCATTAAGTTCAAACAAACTCCTTCTACAAGCAGGGGTCAGTCTAAGGACAAGGGACAGTATCAGCATGAGGCATTAAGACAGGCTTTGACATTCAGTCATGAGGTCATCCAGAAGACTAAGTGTGCAAATTAAGGATCGGAGAGCCATTCAAGGATTCTAATCCATTCAAACAGCAGAGGGTCATGTCTAACAACATGTTATCAGAAGCAGTGGTGTTGAACTCATGTAGCCATGTAGAAGATAGTGTGATAGCGTGCTAGTGTTCAATCTTCAGATCTGTCAATTATTACAGAGGTGTGTGTGGTCGTGTTGTGTATGTTTGGTAGATGATGTAGTGTGTGGTGGTGGGTAGTGTGTGGTGTGTTGTGTTTGGTGGTGTCTGTGGTAGGGTATGTGTGTGTGTGGTGTTGTGTTTGTGTGTGTGGGTATGTATGTATGTAGTGTATGTATATGTGTGTAGGTGTGTGTGTGTGTGTGTGTGTGTGTGTGTGTGTGTGTGTGTGTGTGTGTGTGTGTGTGTGTGTGTGTGTGTGTGTGGGTGTGTGTGTGTGTGTGTGTGGTATGTGTGTGTATTTGTTTGTTCATATGGCGGGTTCAATGTGTCCAGGAGAGAAATGCTGCCCGGTATAAAGTGTAAAGAGCATTCAGTAACTTCCAAAGGGATGTGGCATCAACATGATTCAGGGTTCTCTGTGTTGGACTGTCTACATATCAATAATTAATCTGTAGTTAGTGTTGAATAATGTGTTTCTCTCTGTGCTAGTACAGTACAGTATTTGACTGTACACACACGACGCAGTGTAAGGTACACTGTATGAGCTACACTGCCGCTATAAAACAGCATGTTGCAAGGGGTCAGCTGAGGTCATTATAAGCTGTCATCTCACCAGACCTCCACCACCCAACAGCTTCCAGCCTCTCTAAGCAAAGCCCATGTTTCCTACCACCCACCACAACCACCCTCCACCAGCCCCTCTCTCCTTTCACCCGTCAAGCCCCAGTCTCTCTCCTCTCTCCTTTCATCCATCCAGCCCCAGTCTCTCTCCTCTCTCCTTTCACCCGTCAAGCCCCAGTCTCTCTCCTCTCTCCTTTCATCCATCCAGCCCCAGTCTCTCTCCCCTCTCCTTTCATCCATCCAGCCCCAGTCTCTCTCCTCTCTCCTTTCATCCATCCAGCCCCAGTCTCTCTCCTCTCTCCTTTCATCCATCCAGCCCCAGTCTCTCTCCCCTCTCCTTTCATCCATCCAGCCCCAGTCTCTCTCCCCTCTCCTTTCATCCATCCAGCCCCAGTCTCTCTCCTCTCTCCTTTCATCCATCCAGCCCCAGTCTCTCTCCTCTCTCCTTTCATCCATCCAGCCCCAGTCTCTCTCCTCTCTCCTTTCATCCATCCAGCCCCAGTCTCTCTCCCCTCTCCTTTCATCCATCCAGCCCCAGTCTCTCTCCTTTCCCCTCTCCCCTAGCTCTA